ATAATAATGGAAATGTGACTATATTTTACAAAATACTAGTTTACTAAAACACAGCCACGACAAGCTACTTTGTAAAAATTAAAGGTCAGTTTTATATTATTGGATACAATAACATGAGAGCACGTGGGCCACATTATTGTAACTTGTATTGTTAGCCAGGCACGGTTGAAAATTCAATATAATAAAAATAATAATGTTATAAGATTTAAGCTATTTAGTCTAAATATTTATGTTTTTATGTTATAATTTGTTGTCATTCTAGAATGAAAGACGCATAATTTATATTTATTTCCTAATTTTTTATGGTGGTTACAAGATCTGTCAAATCTACCGAACTCGTACAGAGATTCTTTAGTGAAAATAACAGATAAAATATAAATTTTTTTTCTCAAGAAATGTTTGATAACTATCTAGATATTATAAAATGAAAATTACTTTGCATGTTGGATAGGCAACATGTGAACAGAAAAGAAAGGTATGAGAAAAACATTGCCTAACAAACCTTAAGACTTAATAATAAAAAAATTGATACCTTGCGTATGAAAGCATTGCAATGTTTACTCATAAACTGCCAAATTTTGTTAACATTCACTTACTGATTTAAAAGTTATAGCATAAAATCTATAACAAGCACAAAATGATTACAAAGTCAGTCCCAGGGACCGAGCCCATGTTGAATGAACTAATTTTTTTAGTAAGTTTCATGCAAGTTGGTTGATTATTTCCACTGGGAGAAGGAAAACATCAAGAGATATCGTTGACACCCCACCAGTTAAACAAACTTTGAAAAGTACACTTCAGAATATCCAAATTATAAAATTGGTTATTCTAATAAAGCAGATATCAGATTGATGAAATGAAATATGTTAAATAGATTTCCTATTTATTTTACAAATTTAAGACATTTACTAAATCAGTAATATACTAAAACAATTTCATATTTATTTATAATAGAATATTTAGATTTATTAGTATAATGGTCATTGAGTTTGTTGCTTTAAAAATGTGTGTAAGAACACTTAGTGATCATTGAGTGTGTTGCTTTAGAAATGTGTGAACACTTAGTGGTCATTCAGTTTGATACTTTAGAAATGTGTATAAGAACACTTAGTGGTCATTCAATTTGTTGCTTTAGAAATGTGTGTAAGAACACTGAGTGGTCATTCAATTTGTTGCATTAGAAATGTGTGTAAGAACACTTAGTGGTCATTCAATTTGTTGCATTAGAAATGTGTATAAGAACACTTAGTGGTCATTCAATTTGTTGCTTTAGAAATGTGTGTAAGAACACTGAGTGGTCATTCAATTTGTTGCATTAGAAATGTGTGTAAGAACACTTAGTGGTCATTCAATTTGTTGCATTAGAAATGTGTGTTAGAACACTTAGTGGTCATTCAGTTTGTTGCTTTAGAAATGTGTGTAAGAACACTTAGTGGTCATTCAGTTTGTTGCTTTAGAAATGTGTGTAAGAACACTTAGTGGTCAATCAGTTTGTTGCTTTAAAAAAGTGTGTAAGAACACTGAGTGGTCATTCAGTTGGTTGCTTTAGAAATGTAGGTAAGAACACTGAGTGGTCATTCAGTTGGTTGCTTTAGAAATGTGTGTAAGAACACTTAGTGGTCATTCAGTTTGTTGATTTAGAATCAGGAGAAAAGAATGTTATTGTTTTAGATTTGGAATTTATTTGGGATCATTAAAAAAATATATATTATTTCTTGCATTACAGAGTTATTCTGGTGTTCTTTACCGTTAAAACTTGTACTAGCTGTGTATTTTTTTTAATCCCTCTAGGATCTGACAGTTTCAGTTGCAAAAAAGCACTTTGATCAAGGAGCTCTCTATGTCTTTCTTTGTGCATGTGAACAGGTATGTTAATGGTTTATCTTTCTTTAGTTAATTGTATTAGATGTTTGATCTATTCATAATTTTTATTCTTTTGATGCAATTTATAAATTACATTGAAAGTGAAATTAAAGATAGCTGGACTGGGTTTAGGTTAGTAGAAAATGCAAATTTAATGACATTGTTCCTGAGGCATATGGTCTTTCGTAACTAAGATTTATGAATAATGAAAGTGATCAGTTGAAAATTTATATTTATTTTAATTAAAAGTGAAGATGTTTTAAATTTGTGTAGAAAACATTTATGTTGAATAAGTCACACAACTATGTATTTAATTAGACATAGTTTATAAGTATATATTTAATTAAACAGCTTTCAAGAATATATATAATTAAACATAATTTACAAGTATGTATTTAAGTAAACGTAATTTACAAGTAAATATTTGACTGAATCTAACTTACAAGTATATGTTAAATTAAACATTGTTTTCATTTTATACAATCTTTTAAGGGTATATTTTCAGTGACTTTTACAAAGAAAATTTAAATCTTTATATTTCTTTCCCATAGTTACTCGAAGGAAAAAATAACAAAGTTTTTGTAGATGGACTTCTTCAGAAACGATTATATTCTTGTGTTTTGTTTAGAATAGCCACAGCTGCCTTGGTGAGTGTCTTTCTACAATAACTTTTCAAAATTTATCAAGTATTTTCTTATGGAAGTAAATTACTTTTATAAACATTTACTATTACTTTATATTTCAGCATTTCTTGTCTGTTTTCAATTACATTATTCAAATAAATTCAATGTGATTAAGTAAAATTTATATTCTAGTATCTGGAATATCTTCTGGAACTTGAATTGAACCTTTTCCTCCAGATGACATCATTTGATAATTACATGTAGCAGTTTCAATGAAAGCTATTTAAATTTAAAAAAATATACATTAAAATTTGGTTATTTACACGTGCCATGAATAACACATTCAAAAGTCTGTCTACATCAAGTATAATGGTGTTCAAGTTAGATAAATGTTTTTATGTAGGCCAACACAGACATGTCCATCAATCCTTTGACCAGCAAGTGTGTTTGGATATGCAGACAAATCATTACCTTAGCAGGGTCCTGTGTTTCACCTTTGTTGTCAATTTTGCGTCAATTTCTTAAGCAACACGGACAGATGGAAGTACCAGTTCGGAAGGGAAAATGCTGGAAGAATTTGTCTCAAGTCAAACTTTCCTCTGATATAGTAATTAAAGGTGGGAGATCTTGTTCGTTAAACAGTAGTAATAGTTACTGAATACAAGTGTTTAAGTTAGTACAATATGTATTAGTAACAGTTACTGAATACAAGTGTTTAAGTTAGTAAAATATGTATTAGTAACAGTTACTGAATACCAGTGTTTAACTTAGTACAATATGTATTAGTAACAGTTACTGAATACCAGTGTTTAAATTACTACACCATACAGTAGTCAGTTACTGAATACCAGTGTTTTAATGGGTACACCATGCAGTAGTCAGTCACTGAATACAAGTGTTTAAATTAGTACACCGTGCAGTAGTCACCTACTGAATACAAGTGTTTTAATGAGTACACCATGCAGTAGTCAGCTACTGAATACAAGTGTTTAACTTAATACACCGTGCAGTAGTCACCTACTGAATACAAGTGTTTTAATGAGTACACCATGCAGTAGTCAGTCGCTGAATACAAGTGTTTTAATGAGTACACCATGCAGTAGTCAGCTACTGAATACAAGTGTTTAAATTAGTACACCATGCAGTAGTCACCTACTGAATACAAGTGTTTTAATGAGTACACCGCGCAGTAGTCAGTCACTGAATACAAGTGTTTAAATTAGTACACCATGCAGTAGTCAGCTACTGAGTACAAGTGTTTAAATTAGTACACCATGCAGTAGTCAGTCACTAAATACAAGTGTTTAAATGATTACACCATGCAGTAGTCAGTTACTGAATACAAGTGTTTAAATGATTACACCATGCAGTAGTCAGTCACTAAATACAAGTGTTTAAATGATTACACCATGCAGTAGTCAGTTACTGAATACCAGTGTTTTAATGAGTACACCATGCAGTAGTCAGCTAATGAATACAAGTGTTTAAATTAGTACACCATGCAGTAGTCAATTACTGAATACAAGTGTTTAAATGATTACACCATGCAGTAGTCAGCTAATGAATACAAGTGTTTTAATGAGTACACCATGCAGTAGTCAGCTAATGAATACAAGTGTTTTAATGAGTACACCATGCAGTAGTCAGTCG